TAGAAAGTACAGGTATTTCTATTTTTTAAGAGTGCGCTTAAGACCTTCCTTTTTGATAAAGCTTATAGTTAGGGCTGATTAGATTCAGCCCCTAGTTTTGCTGATATACTGTATAGGCTTAGTTTGTCAAGGGACATCTTACTTCTTCCTTTGTACTCTCATGTTCCGAATAACCCAGCTTCCCCAAATTTATTTTTGGTGTCTATATGCCGGGATCGTGGCTGTGCCTGTTGCTGTGGTCCTGGATCATGAGTCCTGGATGGTCATCTTCTTATTATAGACACACACATTTGCAAACATTTGGTCTACCTACGCTGTATTATCTTTTCGATTTACACACGGCATCTATTGCACGTCTGTCCGTCCTGGGAGAGGGATCCCTCCTCTGTTGCTCTCCCTGAGGTTTCTCCCATGTTCCCCTTTAAACTGTGGGGTTTCTCTGGAAGTGTTTCCTTGTACGATGTGAGGGTCTAAGGACAGAGGGTGTCGTATTGTCATACTGATATTCTGTACAAACTGTGAAGTCCACTGAGACAAATGTAACATTTGTGATATTGGGCTGTATAAATAAACATTGATTTATTTGATTGATTACCATACATTAATATTTATCTAACATTTATTTATTTCTCCACTAATTTGTTATGCATGGTAACATGCAGCTGTGACCCAAAAAAAAATCACAATTTGGAGAGAAGAATAAACGAAGATTAATTGAAAAATAGACTCTTTAATGGAGCAGGGAAATCAATATAATTCAGCAAGGTTATACCACAATATACTCCATTTTAATTAATTTTAAATGGCTAATAAAGCAACAATTCTTAATAAAATGATATAGAAACTACGTCATTTGTGTGCTTAAATCCAATTTACAGTATATAAATTGAATGTAGCATGCAATAGAAGCTCTAGTATGAAAACACTTCAACTAAATATAACCACTTTTAGTATCAACATAACATTGACGTTAAATCCCGAAATTGTCTTGTAAAATATGACATACAACGTAAAAGAATAATATATATATATATATTATTGTAGTAATAATGATATAATCTATTTATGATTGTAATGTATATTGTATTTAGACATACATTTAGATTTACAATTTTTTCAAAAGTATATATGTTAATAATTTAGTCTTTGGGAGAAGGGGTGGGATTAATTTTTTCGGATGTGTAATTAGGTAGATCATTTGTTTATATAATTTGTAAATCACTAATATTTTTGTTTATCAATTTGATACTGGTTAAGTTTGTACAGTATCATCATTCTCATCAAAATCAAAGACACTTTTATTCTGAAGGCAGCTCTGACGCACACCGGAAGTAAACATTGACCACATGCAGTTTCCGTGATATTTCCTGTTTTCGAGGTTGGACTTTAACCTGCATATTGTTGCAGATTTGTTGTTGTATGTTACAGGTGAGTTAGTATAATCTGCAGGTATGAGTGCAGTGATCCCCCGGATAGAGCAGCTGTCCACGCGCGTGGTTCGGGTTTTGGGGTGCAACCCGGGACCGATGACCCTGCAGGGAACCAACACCTACCTGGTCGGAACCGGGGAAAGGTGACACCAGTCCACTTCATGTGTATTATTCAATTTGCAGAATACCTTTATTTTTGAAACAACCATTAACGATACAGTTTGGTTTGACGCTCATGGAAGATGACGTCACGCCAAAGTCCATTCACATGTCTCTGAATTTAGTGTTGTATTGCATGTAGGGTAAAATCCATTGTTTATAGACCAATACTTAATATGTGTACTGAATTGCAAGACTTGACTGATTATTTCGGCATATATTTAATATAAAAATAACAATAATTTGGAGTGTTTTAATTAGGAAATATCACACTAAATTTTGAAATATACATATTCTTCTGCACAGTTTAAGGGAATTATTTGGGTTATCCTCTCATAAATAGACTACATTGTTTTTAAAATACACATACACACTTTTGCAGGTAGTCTAGACTCTAGAGGCAATGCATGAGTTTTATTCTCATAAAATATTGTGTACATTACCTTCTTAAATAAACATAATTAGTGCACAATACAAACATCGTTTGAAAAGTTCAAACACAAATGCATGTGTTAACTTGTATGCAAAGAAAACAAGAAAGAAAGCATGGCTAGATATATCGATATTATATAGCAATTCATGGGTACCAAGTACATCATTTGAGAAGACTGAAACATTTCTAAAATCGCAAATGTGTTCTTTCCTGATTTTGTGATGAACATTTTTGGATTTGCCAGACTGTGTTTGCTCTTTACCAACTTCTCTATCCACACTACTGAGGATTATTATCACAAAATCTAAATTGTGATATTTGATCAGAAATATTGTGATATTTCTCCATATCGCTCAGCCTAAATGCATGTAAATGGTTAAGACATTGGTGTATATGAAGTTGGAAAGCCACTTTTAAATCTTGTCGGAAAGTATATTCTAATATATGTGTGTTTGTATTTCAGGAGAGTGCTGATAGACACTGGGGAATCAGCTGTTCCTGAATACATCAGCAGTCTGAAGCTCGCTCTGAAACAGTTCAACACCAGCATTCAGGAGATCATCGTCACTCACTGGCACCACGACCACATCGGGGGGGTGGAGGACATCTGCCGGGACATCACTGGTGAGGACACTTAAGATGGGAAATAATGTCAAATATATTCCCTGCAGCTCTGGTTAAGTTGGTTTGGTTCAGTTTAATGACCTCTAGGCAGAGAGGGCAAAAGTACACACATCCTTTACTCAAGTAGAAGTACAGATACTCGCGTTTAAAAATATTCTGGTAAAAGTACTGACTAAACTTCTTTACTCAAGTCAAAGTAAAGAGGGCTTTGAAATGTACTTCAGTAAAAAGTACCCATAACTAGCAGCTGTTTTAAAGAGTACCTGACCTCCCTTTTTATTAATAGAACAATAATGTCATTGTTAGCTAATGAATGTTTCCATGCTGAACAACGGCAACATGACAACGTTTTCATTGGTCCCTCTTCTTTAGAGAAGACCAGGAAATGATGGATACACGGATCGTGTTCAAATCAATAGGCACGCAATGACTCTAAATAATAATGATCACGCCACCAAACACACATTCAGACTAAAGGAACCAGCCTGTTTGGAAAATGAGAGAAGTAGAAAGTACAGGTATTTGAGTTCAACATGTAAGAAGTAGAAAGTACAGGTATTTGAGTTCAACATGTAAGAAGTAGAAAGTACAGGTATTTGAGTTCAACATGTAAGAAGTAGAAAGTACAGGTATTTGTGTTCAACATGTAAGAAGTAGAAAGTACAGGTATTTGTGTTCAAAATGTAAGAAGTCAAAGTTAAAAGTCGTCAGAAACATAACTAGTGGAGTACTGATACCAGAAGAATGTGCTTAAGTCCAGTAACAAAGTATTTGTACTCCACTACTTCCCA